CTAAGGCCCAAGCGTTGGCACCATCAGGGCACCATGGCTTATGGTGTGTGGGACGTTTTCGCCCGAGTCACGACCTCATCGGTACGCATCTAAATTCGCCAGTTCACAAGAAAATCGTTCCCATGTGCACTTTTATTCTAAACTTTTAGCTGCATTCTACAAATTACTCGAGTGCTGAAGATTTATTCGCAGAAACCTTAAGATCTTTGGCCAGGCGTCCTCTTGTGCTTTAGCATGAGCATTCATCTCCCCTCCCCACACTAGATAGTGGTCACCAGACCATTTGGCAGTAATACCGGAGAATGAGGAATAGCAGTGTGGAGTGTACGGCGGCTCGATGAGATGTCCCGCCTCGGGATAACGTAAAATAGAACACAAACGTTCCTTACCATGGGCTTTCAGGCGATTAAAAATCAGTTCTGTAGCAAAGTCAGAACCAACATTGAGGTCACCTGTTCCATAGGCTAAAAGAACAGGACAGGAAATGTTTTCGACTGGTGTGATTGGTGAGTAGTTAGAGACTGGGGTACTGACATCATTGACTGCTGGAATGGCGTAACGCCAGATGCTACCTTCTTTTGTCGATATCTTCTGGCTATTTTCAAAAGGAAGTATTTCCGAGACCTTTCCTTTGTAACTAAATGGTATGGGGAAAGCGTTTATGACGGGTGAAATGGCCACAAGGGCTTTGACCGCTTTCATTCCAAGACTTGCCATTAACAACGCGGCCCAGGATCCATAGCAAATGGCATGAACGCCAATACCATGCGGCAAGACTTTAGGATGACTGCTGAGCCAGTTGGCTGCCTCCTCAAAGTACTCCATGTCCATGGATGATGGCAATTCGTGAATATCATCATAAGATAAGTAGGCCAATGCAAGAGCTGCAAATCCGTGCGATGCCAGAAGGGAAGCCTTGAATTCCCAAAGTCCTCCAGTGCCACCCAACATCTCTATCACACCTGCAGAATTGCAATTAGTAAATAAACTGGCCTTTAGCAGGGATAATGCTGAATAAGTTTGGTAACACCAGTTACGTCTGCGTCAGGCTAACGTGGCCTAAACCGTTGGAGCCTATCCCAGTTTCCGTAGCATAAGCGGTCAATAAGGACCTTAGGCAAACCACGACGGTAACGGCAACGAGAACGCCACATAACAAAGGCTTTAATGAGCAAATCTTTGTACATTTGTTAGGTTTCGTTTCCAAAACAACAACGTGGAATAGCCAAGTTCTGCGTATATTTTTAGTTTTGCGTATTTCTGGCGTTACATATTAAGCCTGAGCAAGTTCTGAGACCGGTATGGCGCACTGAACTGATCTAGACATCTGCGAATTCGAAGGTAAAATATAAATTCATTTTTTTTTGTTAGGCGTCGTCCTTAGCGTCGCCGTTGTCATTGCTTAAGCTCCCTAATAAAACAACGCAGTGACTCAGGCCAGTGCTCGTCAGCCCGGACCGCTAGTTCCCTAGCCCAGCACGTGAACCATTGGGCCAGAGAATATGAGTGCAAATTTGAGTCTGATTTTTTGTTTTGATGTTTCATGATCACTTCCATGAAAGTTTAGGTGACCTCGATAACATTGCAGTCAACTTGGGTTAGTAACTTACAGAATTACCTTTTTCTTACCTTAGTTCAGTTTCTTAGACCAAGCCTGCCCCTCTGTCTGTCACGCAGCGCTGCCTTCTCTGGAGGGACGACAGTAGCGTTGCGTGACAGAGAGATGGCCAGAACTGGACGTTCAATTCCCCAGTCCAGACCAGATCTACCACTATTCGTTTTATAACGTTTTCTTACAAAAGTCTGGCACATTTTCGCTTCAAGCCCTTGCAAACGTCAAGACCACGAAAACCGGCGTTGAAATATGACGTGTGTGCGTTAGACCACTGTGAAACCCCTTAATAACTGGGATTAAAAGTGCAATTTGACACCTGGAGCTCTCTGGCAAAAATGCATATTTTGGACATTTTCAGCCTGGATATGAGCTAAATTAGCTCCAATCTACTCAAAGCGGCATTTGCAACATGACAGCATGCCTTTCTTTTCACTAGCATCACCAATCTCGTGCCTAGAGTCCTCGTTCCCCTTGACCAGCGGTCGGAAAACGAGAGCTCTGGGAGCAACCATTTCAGGCGTGCGCCATAGATGTAGACTGCGCAGTGAAACTGGATGAGCAGAATTCGGTCATTTCAAAATGGTTGGTCCCAGAGCTCTCGTTTTCCGACCGCTGGTCAAGGGGAACGAAGACTCTGGGAACGAGATTGTAGCATCACGTTTTATGACATTTTTGCTCGGGCATACGCAGAAATCAAAACTTTTTTTCGCCTTTTCTTTATCTCCTTTTTTT